ATTAATTATCGATGTTTTCTAAATTACGCAAAATACCGTATTATTTATAATTAAATTTCAATTCGATAAGAGGGAATAAGGTGAAAGATTCTTACTCGAATCGATGTCCGAAATACTAAACTTTCAGTTACGCCTACTGGCAGTCCCCGGGTTTCATGAATTTTCATTCGGAGGTTAAAACACGCTTCAAGTATTTAAAAATACTCCAAAAAATCTAAAATCGGTGTTAAAAATCTCTTCTGGTCAATTTCAGAATTCTAGCACGGTGGTGCCGCCGTGCTATGGCACCGGCAGTAATTTGCCTCAGACTGGTCGTTTTCAATAAGTTTTGGCCGATTTCGGTCAGTTTTATACTCATTCATGTGAGAAAATACTTTAAGGGGCCTCGGTTGGCCCAAAAAAATTGAAAAACAAAAACTCACAAGCGGCAAAATTTTCCGTTGCGGCGGCTCCGCCAGCTCACCTTCGCGATTGGACATTTTTCTTCGGTAAACCTGTAGAAAATAAAATGGTGATTACAATAGTGAAAAAATCACACAAAACGGGAATCGGGAAGGGGCTCATCGGAGGCGGCTTTTATTGTTTCCGCGGCGATATGGTCGGGCTTTACCCGCAATTTTTGGCTAATCTACCAGTCTTTTTGTTCCAATCTTGCCATGGGGGTGTTCAAAATTAAAATTTGAGGGAATTTAAATTTTTTTACCTTTTTTGGTGATCAGAGATTGCTCTGGTGCAACGGTGGGCGGTAGTTGGCTCAATTCTCTGGCGACTCGTTCTTTTCTTTTGGCGGGGGGCTGGTAGCTAGGGTTAGGGTTCAGTGTAAAGTGAGGTAATTATATCCGTCTCACTTTAATCTGGGTCATCCATCGCGTTTGATCTAGATTGTCCGATTGCTTTAAAGAGGAAGCAAATCTAGCTCGTTCATCGCGTTTAATCACGACCGTCCGATCGTGCCTGTGGAGGGAACGGATCCGGACCGTCAACTCGTGCGGGAACAAATCAGGACCGTCCGATGCCGGGCACGCAGATTGTCAACATGAGCTCCCTCGCAGCACCGAGTCAGTGTTCCTTGCCACGCGGCGTGCTCTTGTTCGTTGGGACTACTGATTGGGCGGTCTTACACAGTACATTTTTTAAAAATTGTATTTTGACCTGCAGTTCCTGATTTTTCTTTCAAAAATACCCACATAACCCAAATTTCACCCATTTTTCCAAAATTGTTTTCAATTTCACCTCCACCTATTTTTTCCTAATTTTTACATTGAATAAAAATTTATAAATTTAAAAATTATATCTTATACATTAATTTTAAATTTTCAAAATTAATTCTGGGTATTACACAAGTCCTAGTCCCATTTTCAATTAGTAATTATAAGTATGAGGTAATGTGTGATGTGGTTCCTATACAAACAAGACATATTTTATTGGGACAACCTTGGCAGTATGACTGAAGCGTTACACATGATGGGGGGAAAGAATCAAAATTCTTTCCATATGAATGGATCAACCCATGTTCTTATGCCATTATCTTGAAAGGATGTACATGAAGACTAGCTCAAGCTCAAAAGAACCTACGATGAATTTGCTAGCAAAGCGGAGGAGAGTAAAGCTTAGATAAAGATAAAAGAACAATTATTTTGTGCAACATCATCTGGGTATGTCTATGTTCTTAATGGATTACTTAACCCAAACATTAGCTTCTTTATGTTTGCAGAATGTGGATTCGAGAACAAATCTTTCCAAAGAAAGAAAAGATAATGTGATAAAGAATGAAGAGAAATCTTGCTTTCCCAAAGATAAAAAGTGATTATGCAGTAGTGTGCTCCTAGGACACACTAGGAAGTATCCTCAAATAGAAAGTACTCCTAAAGAATTTGTCCTACACCAGGAAATAATAAACAAGCTTAGACGTCAATCAAAAAGGAGGAAAAATAAGAAATTACCCGAGGCGAGAAAGTTATTGAGCCTCACGACCAAGGAAAGGCTTGGTCCTAGAGTTTAGTCTCAAAAGGAAGCCCAAAGCATCATATGAGTATGGATGCCCATCAGGTACACATGCGTGAGCCCAAACGTGTGCGAAAATGAGTACCCACACCTGCAAAATTTTTGGCCATAAGCAACAAGCATGTAGGATGTGCGAGGAAGCTTTTCCCCGCACGCTGGGTGGGGGCATGTACAGAGCAATAAATCGCACACGCATAAAGGAACTATTCATGTGAACACCACATTACACGTGTGTAAAGTACAGTGACACGCACACATGAAGAGGATCGTGCGTGCATGTAGGAAAATCATGCACGCAGGCAATACGACGCGTGCGCGTTAGGGATGAGCACACACGCACCATTGATGAAAAGAAATCACGCTCACAAGTGGACACGCATGCCCGCAGCTAGACATGCATGTAGGAGGCCTTGAGTGCATAGAAGACATGCATCATGGGAATGTGGGATCTGTGGCCGAGAAAACTTATCCTTTTGCCTTTTTCTCCATGTGATTTTATCCAAAATCACATGTGATAATTGTTGCATTATTTTAGTATTTTTAAATATTAATATTTTATTGTAATTTTATCTATTAATATTATTTAATTAGTATTTTTGGATTAAGGATTGAGATATAATATTATTTTATTATTTTTCAAGTATTTATATTTAATTAAAATGTTTCACCATTAGGCTGTAAATCACAACTTCATAAATCAATAAATCAAAACTTTTACGTTTCTTAAAATTAGCTTTACTAATTTTTGGGTGTTCTTTAGGCTTTTTCAAGTTAAGGAGTTTCAGACTGCTTCGTTTAGTCAGGAATCAGGATCAACTCATTGGATAAGTCGTGAGGTCTTTCCTTATCTTTTTAGATTTTAGTTATTTGGATAAACATTCAATACGTTAATTGTTATTTTAGTAGAGAGAGTTAAAATTAGATAATTAAGTTTTGAATTACTGAATATAGTGGGGGGGGGGTTGATGATCGAAGTGTTTTTGATCAATTGAGTCATCTATATCTCCACCCTGCATCATAAGGGCTTCTTTTAAGTGACGTGATTTGGATGGCATGTTTAAACCATGTGATATCAAATATGCAATGTAGTAAAAAAAAAAAAAATTTAACCATTTTGATAAGGTAATTGACATGTGTCCAAATAGTTAATTGTATTAATATGCAATAACGATGAAGGAGTATCTAAAATTTGATATTTTAAAATAGCATATTAGATACAAATTGAAGGTGTGAATAGGTTAACATAATAAGGTACTGAAACGCTATCACATTCCAGTAGGAGTAATATCATTTTTAACTACCCACCCTTATAGGAGTTCTTTAAGTCAACGATCTCATAATTTTCTTCATTACAATAATTGATATTTCCATCATTACAATAATTCCAGAGATAAAAAAAACATTAATTAAAATATTTGTCAATCAATCATTCTTTTAATCACACTTTTACGACTTGTAATAATAATAATAATAATAATAGTAGCGGGCTTGATTTTCTTTTGATATATTTATTATAAGTTTTGAAGGTTAAGCTTACAACCTTACACGTTCCTTCAATTGTATTTGATAATTTGTTCATGTTGGCATTATAATATTCAGTAAACACTCGAGTTTCTAGGGCAGGGCCAAAAAGAAAACACCGAGAAGTCTATATGCTTATTGGTCAAAAATGCAATGAAAGAGGAGATTTTATTTTGTTTTATCATTAATGATACAGGACAGCCGACTTCCAAGAAAACTAGCTTCACTTTAATGTATACAAATTATTATATCATTCTCATTAAAATTCAACATTATAATTAATCTTTATTAGTGGGCTGGGTGTTCAATTACATAAGAATCTTGAGCAGGAAAACTATAAACCATGAATTAATTCCCAAAAGAAAATTTAAAAAGAAGAAGAAGAAGAAGAAAATTTATAATTTGGAGTGACCCAAACGTTAATACAAATAACATGTTTTTTTTTTTATTTTCTATATGGTGAAGGAATCGTGTAGAAATGAGAGCCTAATAGATTCCTTGAGGCTACTCCGTGGTCATCCAAGCTGCCCAATTTTTCAAAAAGTTCTTGAATCCCTTTTTTTTTTTTTTTTTAATCATTTTCAGTCAATACTTACTCCCAAAGAAATTACAATACACACAACTTTTATATATATATATATATATATAACCAAGAGATTCGAATTACAAACATGTTCACATATTAATGTATATGGTCGCTGTTTCTTATACTAATAGAAACGTAAAAAGTTGTATACAAAATTATAATGATATAAATAGATCATCCAAATTAGCTAAATTATTTGTTTTTTCTTTTAAAAATATCAACTACCATATCAGTTTATTTTTTTTTTTTTTAAAATAAATATATTCAAATTTAAACTTGTATTTTTATAAAGATAACATTAAATCATATAATTAAAAAGTCATTAATCATAAATTATAATTTAATTAGCCGAATACCACGTAAATAATAAAACTGAATAGTTGCCTATTAAGTACTTTAATTAAAGGCTTGAAATAAATCCAAGTAATTATTAAAATTTTAAACGGCCGTACAATTGTTTATTAGACAAACTTGATTTGATAACTCTGTTCACACACGTACCCCCTCATAACTAATTTGGATGATACTGGAATTAGCAGTCATTGGTCATCATCATCTGTAACAAGTAAACCATCCGTAATGCATGTATTCATGCCGCATAAACATAATATTCATCCTCTACATGTACATACATAGATATGACTTATAAGACACACACGCACACATTGTATTCTAACGTGCCCTGTGGTCAAAGCTGGCCAAACTAAGTTTGATTAAGATAAAAAGTATTAAGCCCTTCTATTTCTTTCTATCAGGTAGCGTAGGAAGTATTCGCTTTTTCTCGCGTTAAATAGGCAGAGCTTCTTAGCATAGCTACCAATATATACATATAGTTTTATATATCCGCAGTTTTGGATGAACTGAATAGGAACGAATTTGCATCAATAAGATGGGTTCAAAGGGCAACAGAGGTGTGGCGATCGTAAGCAAGATATATTGCTCATCACATGAGGAGGTGCTGGTGGTGAGGAGGAGGCCGCATGTGGTGATGGGAGGAGGTTTTGTGGTGACAGATTCTGCTCACAACGTTATTTTCAGAGTTGATGGTTGTGGAGTTGTCGGTACCAGAGGTCAATTGATTTTACGGGATGCTAATGGAGATGCTTTGCTTCTTATTCGTAGAAAGGTAATCCTTACAGACATACCTACTTATACACGTACAAAATTCAAATTAAATTTTGGATCATTGGGATAATATTTAAACCCGTTAATTTATCAATAGTTTATTTGTTTGTTTCTCTTTATTAGCAAAAAAAAAAAAAAAAAAAATTAAAGTAAAATTTATCATGTTGGTTGAGCATATAACATTTAGTAAAAATTTAATGGGCTCGAATTTATCTCCTCTCAAATAAAAAAATTAAAAAAAAAAATTGATATATATATATATATTGCATGCATGCATGCATACATGAAATTTTAAGGTTATTTATGATTAGAATTTGGGATGTAGGAAGGAATGGTTGAGGCCTTAAGCATTCATAGGAAGTGGAAGGGTTTAACTTTTGATTATGAAGGACGTCCAAAGCTGGTTTTCATCTTGAAGGAGCCCAAGAAATCATGTTTAGCATACAATAATACCATCAAAATATCTCTTCTGCCAACCAACAACAATAGTGACTTTTATGTTCGAGGTTATTTCTCCGATAAAGATTGTACTATTGTTGATTCAACTGGCTACACTGTTGCTCAGGTAATTTTTTTTTTTTTCCTTCTCTAATTTTAGCACAAGATTTTTCTAATAATATAATTCTAAAGTAAATTCTATTTAAAATTATTAACATCATTTTAGTTTTCTTTTTCATTTTGCCTTCTCTCCTCGTGTTTTAAGCTGTCAAAACATATCCAATATATAATTAAGGAGTGAATGAATTAGTTGTTGATGTTATGACATGCAGATTGGAGTAACGAAAGAAATAGAAGAATTAATGGCAAGCAAGGATGTCTACCACGTAATTATAAAGCCAGGAATGGACAAAGCTTTTATATTTGGCGTCATTGCTATTCTGGACTATATTCATCACGAATCCACTAGTTGCTAGCTCATTAATATATGTTACAATTAAAGCTTGGGGAAATGCATGTCTGTTGTATCAAACTAATACAAGCTTTATGTCTTTCGTTTAAGTAATTATTAATTATTAAATGCTATTATTTATCTTAATCAATCTTCTGAATATTTTCTAAATTGTTCTTTGATAGTTCTTATTCAAGGATATTTAGATCAATTCAGAATTTACGCAATTTTAACACTATTTCTGAGAATTACCTCACATCTTTTGTCTTTTAGATTATTGATATTCATATCATATCATGGGCAAATAATAGACAATTAATCCACTACTTCTTCGATTCCTTATCTATCACCAATTTCACTGTTTGTTCATTGTCCATTGCCGCCCTTTCTTCCACCAGGCAGCAGCCACAGATGGTACTACATAAATATCACTCTCATTCTTTCTTTATCAATCTCATTTCTAGAAATTATATAATGTGGGAAACCCAATTAACTAATGTTAAACTAACAAAATCTGTTTGGTTATGTAGATGAAGTCACAAGTACAATAGCAAAACATATTTACCATTTTGAAACAATTTTAAAAGAAATCTTAATTATATATCTAGTTCTAAAAAGATCATATGCTAATAATATGGCTTCTCTCGTTCCTTTT